CGTGTCACCACGCACATCGACATTGCGCCCACATTGTTTGAGCTTGCCGGGATCCCTCTGCGGGCGGATTTTGATGGCACTCCGATGCCTGTGGCGCGGCAGACGAAGTCAATTGTCCATGAACATGTGACCGTGGAATACTGGGGACGAGCTGTTCTTGAAGGAGAATTCTCGCGGATCGGTGAGTCTATTTCTGTCGTTAGAGGGGTACGGGGGTTGCTGACACGACTACACTAAGGCCCCCATGGAACCCCGACCATGAACAATAATACATACAAATCCGCCCGGATCTTGTCGCCGGAGTACAATCTGTACTACTCAGTATGGTGTAACAACGACCACGAGTTGTACGACCTCTCGGTATGTGTAACGCTGCCTAGCCTAATTTGATTTAGCTAACGGATTCCAAGGTGGATCCCTACCAGATGAACAACATCTACTCCCACAGCGGGGCCCAATTACTCGGTCGTCCCCTGGCAACGGTGATTGACCGGATTGATGCACTCCTTCTCGTACTTAAATCCTGTCAGGGCCGTACCTGCATTGAGCCCTGGAAGGTTCTGCATCCTTCGGGTGGTGTGCGTAGCCTCCAAGAGGCGCTGGCCGCCCAGTACGATGAGTTTTATGCGGAGCAACCCAAGGTATCATACTCGGTGTGCGAGGATGGCTACTTGATCGAAGCTGAGGGCCCGCAGGCGGGATATCAGTACCGTGACGGGTTGAGCTGGGAGGCCTGGACTTGAGTTTGTATGCACTGTACTTATGAGCATTATACGACAACAAGCAGCGAGTAATGATTAGATGTAAGGTTAAATGTGGAGCACGTTATCTAGTTCATATTGTAGGCGGTGATTAGATACTCGTAATTAGTGTCAAGTCTATGGGGCATCTAAGAGTGGGTTCGAAGGCACCGGATGGGATGACCTCGATTAACTTCGGTTCCTGCTGTGGTTCGGCCCACACCACGTGTCGGAATTCTTCGTTAGGAACTTAATCGTAGCATGCGTGGAATTTGACTTGCCAGGAGCACCAAGAAGAGTGGAAGCTCTCAGGAAGTATCATGTCGTTGATGATGCCATCCTGGGAGGCAGTTTGACAATGAACGGCCATACAGATTCGACCTCGAGAGGCGAGAGGACCTCGCTTAGGATTATCAAGATAGAGCTAGAGAATCAACCTTGTACTGTACTGTAGGATGATAGTTCGGTGATCAAGCCATGCAGGAAAAAATAAACCAAACCCACCGGGTGGATTGACATCAACCGCGGCGGCGATTGCGCCATCCAGGCGGGCTCTCACTCCATCTCCACCGCCGGTCAATCTTAGCGAGCCCGCGCCCGCAGCTAGCCAGCGCAACTCATCCTCCATTCACTTCATCACCATATAAACACATAAATAACCCACTTGCTCCATACAACTATGCCTTCCATCCAGCTCAAATTCTCCTTGCAACGCGGCCGCTTCCCTTTCCGGCTTTCAATCGCCGAGTTCCCCAGCTGAAGCTCCAAGGCCACCCGCCTATACTCTCAGCAGCCATGGCCACCTACTCCTACCCTGAGCAGGAATTCTCCGAAAAGAGGGCCATTGACAATGTCCTGAGCGACGAGTCCAGCAACGACAACGAGGAAGGAGTCGACATCATCAAGAATTGGGACGACAAGGAAGAGGCCCGAGTTCGTCGGAAGTAGGTCCATCCTATCTAATTCCATACACCTTTGCGTGAGGGTTTCCTAGGTTTAACATAGATTCTCCACCAGGATCGACCTCATTCTCTTACCTGTCCTCGGGCTCGCCTTCTTCGGTCTTCAGGTCGATCGTGGCAATATCAGCGCTGCGCTGACCTCCACCATCACGGAAGATCTGCACATCAACACCAACCAGATCAACGTCGGTACCCAGCTTCTGTCCGCGGGCATCGTCGTCAGCGAGATTCCTTCCAACATCATACTTCAGCGTGTGGGGCCTCAAGTCTGGTTATCAGCTCAGCTGGTTGCATGGGGCTTGGTCGGAGTCTTTCAAACTTTCGTGAAGTCATACCCTGCCTTCTTGGTCACTAGATTGCTGCTGGGTTTGCTGGAGGGCGGGTTCATCCCCGGTATGTTGGACGTCAGTGGTCTGCCTTGATACGATTGCCTAATGAGTGTGCTGCACAGGTGCTCTTTACTATCTCTCCCAGTGGTACAAGCGTGACGAGATTAGTTTTCGCACTACGCTCTTCTTCTACGGCCAGATGTTCGCCGGTGCTACATCGAGTCTTATCTCCGCTGGACTGTTGAAGCTATCGGGAAGATGTGGTCTCGCAGGATGGCAGTGGATCTTTTTAAGTATGTGTCTTGCACCATGATGTTTCTGACTACGAGCAACACTGACACCGATCCGCAACAGTTGAGGGTCTCATCACCATCGTGGCCGCTATTCTGTTCATCCTGTTCATTCCCAAGAAGGCCGGCGACGGTAGCCCACTCGCCAGCATGGGACGTTGGAGCTACTTCAACGCGCGCGAAAAGCAAATCATCCGCGACCGCGTCCTTCTCGACGACCCGCTCAAGGCCCGTGGCGACCGCATCAAGATCACTGGCCGCGACATCTGGGACACCGTGCGCAAGCCCACCGTCATCCAGCACTTTATGATCACGCTCGTCTCCATGTCCGCCTTCCAGGGCTTAAACCAATACGCGCCCAGCATGATCAAGTCATTCGGCTTCAGTGCCGTCCGCGCCAACGCTTTAGCCAGTGTCGCAGTGTACGCGAGCATCGTCTGGTTGACCATCCTCGCTTGGCTCTCGTACGTTTGCCTCATGTGCCATGGTGCTCCATAAATTGGTGCTAACAAGACGCAGAGACAAAACCGGCAAGCGTGGCATCTTCGTCCTGCTGTGCATCACCTGGAACGTCATCTCCTACACCTGCCTCCGCACCGTGCCCGATGACTCTTCCCGTTGGCACAAATACGCCGTTATCACGATTGCCAATCTCGTCTACGCCAGCATGCAGTACGCTTTCCCTTTCACCTGATCACAGTATAGCTTGTTAACCCATGACACAGTGTGCTGAACATCGCCTGGCTCGGCTTCCACTGCAAGACGCCTCAGGAACGAAGTGTCTCCATGGCGTACGTTCCCTTCTACCCTGATAAACACCGGAGTCCAAATACTAACAGAGACAACAGGTTGATTGTCATGGCCGCCAACTGCGCCGGTATCTCGGGCTCGCAGATCTTTCGGACGTCGGACAAGCCACTGTACCGACATGGATTGACGGCTATTGCCGCTCTGGCGGCGGCCTCCTGGGTCCAGACGTTGGTGTTGATTCTGTGGTATGCGTTCAAGCAGAAACGCGCCGGGGGCAAAGGGTCGGTATGATTGGCTGTGTGGATGTCGAGCTTAATGATATGATAGAGATTTTATGACTGAATAATGATTGAACAGCGCCTTGTCAACGTGTGTTGGTCTGATTTTTGTGATCGTAGGGTGAGTTTTGGGAAGGCTAGTAGAGGACTCTATCCCGAGTCAATGTAGTCCGCGCGACGGTGATCTGCCACTACCATAGTTTTGAAGTTGTTATATTCATGCATACCACTTATTGCTGGACCTCCAGTAAGCACAACGGGCACGGGCAGCAGCGCCTTCACCATCCCCGACATCTGCGGCAAAACCAGCTCCTGCTTTTGTCTGCTACCCAGCAGGACACCCAGGGCACCAGCCGTCCAAGCTGCTGACGCAACAGCGGCCCAGCCCATCGGCTCGAAATTTTTTGTTGCGGACGATGGTTTGCACTCAGCTATTGCGGGGTATGTCTTTATCTGCCGCGTTGGTGATGGATAGTGTTGGGGATTGTCTGGTTTGGAAAAATCATTGATGGTCGAGGGTTTTGTGTTGCATGGTTCTCCTTTTGTTTGCACAAATTGCTGGGAATTAGCGGGTGAGAAAATAACGGAGAGCGTTTTGGTGATGAAAAGATGCTTGTGGTGGCTTACTGGGTCTTGGGCGGGTCTTGTCTTTATGCTACGATGGTATACACCTATCCTTAAGGCATTAAAAATCCTTATCTCATCAGCATGTGATCGAGCCAGGAGCAGTCGGGGATATCGCAGATGTAAGCATAAAACATTGCTATAGAGTCTAGTTTTCTGCATAGCTGGTCAATAACTAATAGGTATCTAAGTTCTTCCATACAGTCTTAAGCTGCATAATCAAAGCTGATAATCCCACTCGGTTAATAGTTGAGTAAGACACATATTTGCGCGCTGGCTTGGATTTTTACTTATTTCCCTCTCCCAAGTAATCATCTTACTTCTCATGTTGGTCGAGGATCTCGTATCATGCCCCCTCGGTGCGGCGGTCGTCTCTTCGGTCGCTCCCTTAAACTAGACGAAGTGTGTTGCAAACAGCCTGCTAGAGTTCCTGGCTGTGCAGTCTTTGCTTAGACTCCATCGCGACTCCGTACGCGGCACCCAGGGGACTAAACTTGGTGAATATTCATTATTGCTTCAAGTACAACTGTTGGTTGTCCGGGGCATTCAGGGCAGGCAGCCTAGTAACGCCGACGATTTGCTGTCCCGCTACAACAGGCCATGGCGTATGTTGTGTATAACCAAGTGTGTTGCCGATCGTGTGCCATGTCGGCTTTCAAGCTGCGCGCCGACATACTCGACGTGGCAAAGGAGCAAGAAGCGCTGAGAGGAAAGCCGATTGCGATCATTTTCAGATGGAGCATATCGGTAGTTTTCCAATGATGATTGGTGTATGGAAAATACAGCTTTCCGAGTCCAGCTTTTTCATGTTCAATCCGTTCAAATCGCTGTGTCGATCTGATCAAGAACCTCATAGTAGATAACCTCACTCGTGGTCTGATCCATGTGAGGAACATACCATATGAATCACATTTCTCGTCCCTGAATATAGCTGACCTTCCAGGACTATTCTATATTTTCATCGAATGTGTATCATGTCTTCGATACTGCATTGTCGATAAAGGACGTCGGTATCGTGCGAAGCACTTCAGTACGGATGTTCCACGTGCACAGTGTCAATTGAGGTGGCCTCTTGGATCTCCCGAGCGGCCATTTTGGTAAGCTGGTCACTCAGCCTATCTGCAAGAATAAATGCAGACCCCTTTATCAGCGAACCCGGTGGGGTTTCTAATACCAATTCATGGTGAGAGCCACTAACTCGGGTTCGGAGCAACATCCCTGTCCGTCGTGGTGAGTTGGGATTGTTTGGCAATCTGGGATTGCTTAATCTCGAAAAGGCCGACGATGTTCCCGGCTTGTCCACCATCCCAATGTTTTGGGTAACATCAATTGGTCGCATCAACAGCATGGTCAGCGCTATTTGCTAATACTCCACCAGTGTTAGAGCTTCTGGTTGTTTTGGAAGGGTCTGGCTAACTGACCTTGAAAGCCGGGCGACGTCTTTGGTGTGTAAGAATGTCTTTGAGTCCACAAGGAGTCAAAATTGTCACTAACACAACCGCTGTACCGGGTTCCTCCAGTGAATGGTGAATTGACCGATGCCACGCACCCTGCCGTACGTGAAAATGTATGTCTGGCGCTGCGCAGAGTCGAGAGAGTATAGCGTATTAGGGTGCTCCAGTCGTGAGACAGTGTGCTGTACCGGCACGACACAGACATTCCAGAGCCAAGCAAAATCTTGACACAGCCGCAAACTCGGTGTCTTTGCTTCTGAGCTGATCGTAGGTTGTGAAGTTGTCCTGGACTGCCGCATGCGCGTAAGCCCTTTCCCCTCATGTCGACAAAGTAGAAATTGCTGGTCGTGGGTATAGAAGAAGTGTTTAGCCTCAGGCGCTTTATCTTTATTGAATTACCCTTCTTGTGGCGAATTCCGCGCTAACTGCAAGTCTTCATTTTTCGCTTGGATGTCACACTTTGATTCAGAGTTGCTCTGAAGAATGTCATTGAGCACGGACACTGAAGTAACCACAACCTCCACCTTCCCTTCCTCCTTTCTGTCATGCCCACTTTGTATCAATGAAGCTTTTTCATTAGTTTCCTTATGCTGGCAAAAGTTGTACCACTGATACTGTAGGGGCGGCTTTGAAGCCAGCACAGCACGTGTGATCCTCCGTAGACAAGGAAGAAGAACTGTCCGTGTGCGTAGAACAGACATGTGTCGCCAGTTCGAACTCGTTTTTGGCGTGTGTTGCCTTGATGATCAAGATCGGCCGGGTTTCTGTTTTTTCTGACCGCTGTAGACAGCTCGCATTAAGCGAGGAGTGTCCATGCGTCGCTCAGTCGGGTGCCTTTAGGTGACCACAGTCTTTCCTTTTTGTGGTCAAGGTTTAATTGCCATTGTTAATTGGTCTCGTAACGTACTTTCGTCAGGGTGTTTATCGTCTTCTTTCCAGGCTGCCTGTGACCTTGGAGATTGTAAAGTCCGATTGCAAGTCGAGGTGTATTTCCGGGAGTCTTGTGCTATCATTGCGTAGACGCCGAATCTTGAGCAGGTGTCTGCTGATGCTCAGAGCTTGCCTGTAAAAGGATTCCAGAATCCTTCAATCATCGCTCTGATTCAGAGTTGCCCTGAAGACTGTTATTCCTGTCCGGGACCAACGCTAAAGGAGCCACGACCTCAAGCTTCCCTTCCATCTTCTTGTCATGTCCACTTTGTTTTGTCTCAATAAAGTTTGAAACTATCCTCCATATGCTGGCGGACGTTTCACCGCGTCTACATACTTGCGTAAACGCCGAATCTTGAGCAAAAGTCTGATAGCGCCCGGAAGTCGCCTGATAATGAATTCAAAATCCTTCGATAGCCGCTCTGATTCAGAGTTGCTTTGAAGACAGACATTCTGTCCGACAGAAGCTGAAGCAATCACAAGCTCCAGTTTCCTTTTTTTTTTTTGCTGTCCCGCCCACTTTGTCTCAATGACGTTTTGGAACTATCCTCTTTGTGCTGGAGGAGTTTCACCGCGCGGGCATTCCTGCGTGGACGCTGAGTCTTGAGTAGACGTCTGCTGACGGCCAGAATTTGCCGTAGAATGAATCCCGGAATTCTTCAGGCACCGGCCATTTGTGCCAGTATCCTAGCCTCTTCCTATTCGCCTTTTTTGACGAAGCAAAGTCAGATATGTCTATAGCAAAGAAGAACTGATCGTGGGAATCGAAGATGAAAGTTTCTCCAGCCGGGATTTTTGTTTGTCGTAGGATAACCTGGTGATCAAAGTCTGTGGGGTATCTTTCTTGTCGTAATGCAATGGACAATTCACATATAGCAAGAATTGTGGACGCATTACTTAATCGAGCGTCCTTCTGGGGACACTTTCTCGCTCCTCCTGTGACAGCAAAGGTTTAATTACTGATGACCACTTGTCATGGGGTAACCTCGCCTTTGTTTGACACCTCGAGATCATTGTGTAAGTGTGTCACGTCGAGCGCGACGTGGATACATTTAAGCCGTGATGCCTCTGGATATCTTCTGTGGGCAGGATCGGGTGCCAGGCAAGGCAGAACTGATATGGAGAAAACCGGGTCCCTCAGCTTATGAAATCGAAAAGTGACACTGTCAGTTGTAACCCGATTACTTGGTGTTGAAGGTCAATCAGACCCGGTTCGTCTCCGCTGGATGTGTGAAACGACCACAACAGTAAAGCTTTGCAAGGGAAATGAGAAGCCACATAAGATGTTTAGCGATTGTAACATCAACACAACAAAGAACAATATGAAAGCAACAAGTGTGGGGAAGCTGAGGCTTGGAAAAGGATAGGAGGAAGGAAGATGGAAGGAAGAGTAAGGATAGGATAAAGGACCTGCAGGAAGTTCGGTTAGGAGACGAGGATGAACTAAAAAGCACTGATCTAGAACCAAATGTTAATACATTGATTGTGAGTGAAGGGCTAAGAAGCCATTCAAGATGTGATAAAGATGAATGATATGGACGAGTTCTGAGCAAAGACTCACTGAATTGGAACTGAGAAGAGGTAGGTGATTCACTCACTGTAATATTCCAGCATAATAAGCTCAGTCCTACTGATGTGTAAAGATAATACATCACGTGCCGATGGCCTTCAGGGTGGTGAGCGAGATATGCATGAGAGCCGAGTGAGATGGGCACGTGTTACAGCCACGGTATCAATCTGATTATCGGTTATCTCCCTGCACCACGTGTCCAGGTAGATGCTCGGAGAAATAATAGAGCGAGGAGTGCCAGTAGACGAAAGTTTAGTACAAAAGCGGCCTATGGCGCAGTTGGTCTTTTAGGCATGGTGGTCTTGCGGTTGCCAATCAGTAGGTCATCTTATCTGACGTTTGTTGACAGGTTCTGAAGCTTTTCAGGTAGAGGATAGCTCTCGTGGTGCTGCTTCTAGACTGCCATTGAAAAAAAAGATGGAATTGTTGTAGGCGGACATTTGACAGCAGACGGAACTTATGATGACTATCAGTTGCAACGGCATAGGTTCGTCGCGGTTACAGGGGGCAAAAAGTGTCCAAGGAGAAATATTGTCCATGGATGCGTACTCCGTAGTGGTTGGGGAATGGCTGTTGAGGGGGGAAAAGTAAATGAAAAAAAGAATGTCTGAGTGCATCATCCGTGAATCGAACACGGGCCTCATCGATGGCAACGATGAATTCTACCACTAGACCAATGATGCTACTTGATACTGTCTAGGCGTCGTTACAAAGACATATTCCAACTTTGCCTCTAATAATCCCCCCGAAACCAGGCATAGTAGTATCGCCAACCATCGGGAATGCCTGTCCGTCTAGAGATTGCTCGCGATGGGCTTTATTTTTTTATTTTTTATTTTTATTTTTTTTTCTTTTTGGCCGAAGTGAGTTTTTACTATCTTCAGAGACTGGTCCCAATAAGTCGCACACTACATTCGTTTAGATTTTTTTTTTTTTCTCCTCGTTCCGGTTCTGAACTGATAGCAATAATCCTAATATATATGCGCAGGCTGACCAGTCTTAATCGATGGTTTCGACATTACTCTTCATGGCAGTCGCATAGTTCACGCGCTTAAGCAAAGTCACATCAGTCAGTACCTCACTATCCTCACCATTTTCCAGTCAAGCCTTGCTCAAGTCGAGCATGCTTTTACTCGTACCACCCGCCACCCACAATCTGTACCCAGACGGGCCAAACCGACCCCTCATATCGGAATCTCGGCGAGCTCGGGACACGGCCCGCCCGCGCCTGGTCGTAATGAGTACTTCCCCACCTTCCACCTCCAGCGGTTATCGGCACGAGGAATGTCGATCCTCACCAAGGTGCAGAGTCGTAGGACCTGATAATAAAAGGTGCCTGTCGCATCGCTCCCGCTCCTCCTGGTCGTCGCAGAAATCCTTCCTCAACATCATTGCCCGAGTTCAGAACGCATTGACCGAAAATGTACTACGAACCCGGCGTGACGGAGCACAACCTCCCGCATGATCCCTTCAAGGTACAGTACAGTATATGCGCACCCCAATCCACCATCACAGACGAAAATCAACAGAAAGACAGGCATGTGTGATCCCCCGCCCGATAGGCTGGATCTCGACGCAATCGCCCGACGGCCAAACCAGCAACCTGGCGCCGTACTCGCAATTTAACAACCTCACCTTCGACCCGCCGTACGTGATGTTCTCCTCCAACCAGACGGCCGCCGAGACCCGCAAGGACACGGTCGTTAACGCCGAGGCCACGGGCGCGTTCGTGTGGAACCTGGCCACCTACGACCTCCGCGAGGCCGTCAATATCTCCGCAGAGCAGTTCCCGTACGGCGTGGATGAGTTCGAGAAAGCGGGTGTCACCAAGGAGCCCGCTACGCTGGTAAACGTGCCCATGGTCAGCGAGAGTCCTGTGAAGTTCGAGTGCAGGTACCACTCCACCATCCGGTTGCCCGGGAACCCGCCGATGGGGACGGTGGATGTCGTCATTGGACGGGTGGTCGCGGTGCATATCAAGGATGAGGTGCTCACGGATGGGATCCTGGATGTCAGGAAGACGAGGCCGATTGCCCGCTGCGGCTATTATCAGTATACGGTCATCGAGAATACCTTCGATATGGTGATTCCGGGGATGTCGGAGGATGTGTTGTATGGCTTAGAGGGGAATGCGAAGAGGAATCGGTTGAGGAATGAGAAAGGGGTGAATAAAGAAGAGGAGTAGATTGGCAGAGTTACGCCTTGTGAATATCTAGATCTAAGACGTTGCTTGTTGAAGGGCAGCTTCTGCACCTTTTGTTGAATGGACAGTTCAGCCAGGTGGAACAGCATTGGTACCCTGATACTGCACGTTCACCAGACAGTCACCCAACTCAAACCTCGGCAGTCCATTTCCATCGCCATTCTAATAGCGCCCACCTAGAGCATACTACATTGATCAGATTGAATACCAACACCGCCGAATAAAAGTCAACTAGGGCTTGCGGTGAAGTTGCCTGCAAGAGCTTCCCGCCGACTGGAACAGTCAAAAATGTCCCAAATGCTGCAACGCTGTACACCGTTCCATAGAATCGACCGTACTCCTCTGCCCGACACAATTGGCCTGCACACACCGGAGCCAGCGAGAACCAGCCACCCGACCCGAACCCAAACACAGCGACGACTGCATAAAACGTCGCTTCGCTCCGCGATCCAAACGGCACCCATACGGCCGTCATGACCACCAGCGTGAGTATCATCATCGCTAAGAGAATCTTGAATCTTCCCAGAAAGTCCGCTGCTAATCCCGGGAGCACCCGTCCCAGTAAACTCATGCTGTTCAGCACCGTCAGGGTGTAGAATTGCTCCTGGGAAAAGAAACCCGCATAGCGTGCATAGGTCGGAAGCAACGCCACGCATCAGAAAGTAATGAACTCGAAGCTAAACACCGCAGGAGCCAGGAAGCAGAGACGCGGGGACCGGAACGCACGAAAGTCGATAGTGGCGCGAGTAGGGGTGCCAGTGTTTGGCAGCTGCCTGCCTCTAACAAGGAAGATTGCCAGAGCATAACAGCCGAGGGGGATAAAGGCAACAATGCGTAGAGACCATGCCCAGCCATATTTCTGGAAAGTGCTGCGGAGTACGATCGGGAGGATCGCACAACCGGCGGAGGAGCCGCCCATACAGACTCCCGTGACCAGAGCCCGGCGGCGTTCAAACCAGTGAATCAGCACGCTAATGGCCACGGTCGTGAGAATGGCCGAAGACATGCCGCCCAGAACGCCCAGGGCGAGCATAAAATGCCAATATCTCGCACATCGGGCAACGAGGAGGTAGGAAGCGACGCTGCCAAGAGAGCCCACGGCGAGAAGAGTGCGAGGGCCATAGCGGTCGAAAACGGGGCCGACTCGAACGCCTAAGAAGAGGGTCAGGAAGACAAGGAGCGCGCTGATCCAGCCGATATTCTCCACGCTGTAGCCGGATAACTGGTGGGTGGTAATATAGTCTTGCACTGTGCCGACTGGGGTCCCGTGAGAACCGATGCGTGACGCTGAAGTTCAAGATGGGAGTAGCATACCAGCGGTTTGGAAACCGAAGGATGGGAACATAATGAGGACAGAGCCCACCAGACAGCTCCATGGGGATACGTCAGGCTGATGGCTCCTGTGGCGACGTCTTCAGAGGTATTGGATTCACGGTTGACGTCACAGCGTTCAATGTCTCGATGCATCGTGTCCAAGGATGAAGTCCAAGAAGATGTGTGCGAGCAGACATGTTGAAGTTGTAGTCGAAGGAAAAAGAACAGAGCTGTTTCAGGACGTCAAATGAAGGGCATGTGAACACTGATATCGGAAGAATAGGGTAATCGCGGCCATTGCTGCATGTTGACGCTGATTCATAGACATGCGAAATCCTCCTCTAGACCAGGATTGAGTCTAGATGCGATTCCTGATTCTAGCTGATTGTATACCAACACGGGTAGGAAGGGTTGTAAGTTCTTCTCGGATTTTATGCCCGCTATGGGCGTAAATCTGGCTTAGGCCTGACACTGTGATTTGAGGCACGACCTAACTTGTCAGAACAGCCACTCGGCCAGAAAGACCGATCATGGTAGGTTAAACCTTGATCTTGTCGAGACGTCAATGAACAGGGCATGGTCAGGGGCGAAGAACAAGTCATTTGGTAAGATACGCCCCGTGGTGGATTCTCCGAGCTTATCACTAAGCATTGGAACACCTACATGAAGCTTCTGAATCTCTCTACTTCCAACATTGTCTTGGCTCCTGGACATGTATCTGCCGACTGAGACTCATGTGTCAAAAGACAACAATCTCTATTCTGCCTGCGTTAGAGCTAGTTGGTCTGGCACCACGACCCCGTGTTCCCAAAGAGTGGATAGGCATCACTTCGATATCTAGGATCATGGCCTTAGGGGTTTTCAATCTTATGAGATGATTTCTTCAAGATATGATACACATTTTTCAAGCATATGAGCACTCTAGAGTTAGAGGTCCTGCTGTTTGACTGGTACACGGATCATCCATTGCAAAAGCTCGTACGCAATCTGCACGACAGCCAAACCGGTAGTCTCGGCTCGGTTGTCATAAGCAGGGGCAAACTCGACAATGTCGGCTCCGATAATCTTAATATCAGCATGTGAAAGCCCATTTAGTATCTGCAAAAGCTCGCGAGTTGTCCAGCCTCCGGGCTCAGTGGTTCCTGTCGCGGGCGCAAAGGCTTTGCAAGCACGTCAGCGAGACAATATTCAAGCAAGAGCATATTACGTTGGGGTTATACCTGGATCCAAGACATCTATATCGATGCTTACATAAACGAGGTGGTCCTGCACAGTGTCCACCACCCTTTGAATGATGGACTCAATGCCAATTTCATCAATTTGCCGAGCGCGAATCGCCGTGAAGCCACAGCGGGCGTCGTTGTCTATATCATAATGCTTGTCGAACAGCATGGAGCGCGAGCCCAAGTGCATATTGCCGTGGTCTGCGAGGAGCCCTTCTTCATGTGCTAGATGTAGCATGCTTCCATGCGTCACCTCGGAGTACTTAGTGTAGCCACCCCCGAGTTGCTTGGGGTCCCATGTGTCGAGGTGCGAATCGAAGTGTAGGACTGCTACCCTGCCCCAGGTATCGTGTAAGGCTCGTAGTGCTGGAAGTGCTGCAGAGGAAGATTAGTGGGTACTCGAGAAAACCGATAAAAGCCACTCTTGTCAGGATGTGCGAAGTCTTACTGATTGTATGGTCGCCACCAAGTGAGAGTAGTCGAACATGATCCCCCTTCTCGGTATTCCGTGGCTCTCTGGAGCCTATCTTAGCCCAGCCCGCCTCCAGCTCATGGATAGCCTGGAGTTTATCAAAAGGAGTGTTGGAGATATCGCCGCGATCCACAACAGATGCCCAATCCTGAAAAGGGTTGACCTCATGATCCATGCTGGTTCCTGTCATTAGCACGACTGGTTTGAAGGGAATCACGGGATACTTGCCTATACGCAAATCCGGGCTCAACGAGTCTTTTCTCTTTCTTGTCCGCTGGCTGGGGTATATACATATTGTGGCTTTACTGGATGAGACGGACTATTTCATCGATGCTCCGAATTTCTACACCATCGCTGCCAGGCACGAGCATGGCAGCGGCGGCGGTAGCAATATGCTTTTCTTCCATGATGTTGACCCCTTTCTTGGTATATCGCATGGTGTGGCCGACCTTCTCTACCGGCTCGGACAAGTGCTGCGCTACAGCACCATGGAAGATAGACCAGGCGTTTTGCGTTCAGCGACAGAGGATGCGGAAACGAGGATGCAAGTCCTAATTCGACGACTAAAGCACTACAAGAAAAATAACCACGAGAAGCTTCCATCTCATCTGGATATCTACAACGAAGCTTTGGTGTATAGTGGTCTAGTGTTGTTCCTGGTTAAGTGCCGGCGTGAGGCCCCCAACTCGGTCATCGTGCAGTCCGCGGTAGCCCAAGTGCTTGACGCGTGTGCTTATGTCCCGGCCCATGCACCGGTGGCCAAGCTCATGCTTTTCCCGTTATTTGTTGCGGGATCTCACAGCACCAGACCTCTCCACCATGATTTTGTTCGGCTTCGGTTAGATGTCTTAGGGAGCGGATTGTGCATTGCAAACTTTACTCGCTTGTTGGAGATTCTCGAGGAACGCTGGCGGGGACTGAAGCAAAGTAAAGACGGCCGGTCCGTTGACCCGGTGGAATACACCCCTGCGTCAGTCTGTGTGCTGTTTTGAGTGGCATAGCTGCAAGCTAAGAAGGGAATCTATATAAACCTGACCCTCTCAAGTGGCATATGAATGATCTCCCATGAAGTCATGCCAGAAAAAGAAAGAGGTTCTGTGTTTGAATTCTCAGGCAACCGAGTTGTGAGATACCACGGTCGATCCTTCTTGGCGGGTGTTGTTCATTCTCGGTCTCGGGTTCGGGTTCGTATTCGGGCTCGTGTCCGCAGGTCAAGTCCCAGCACTTCCGGTTCCAAATTTCGGTGCCTGAAGCAGAAAGCTTATGCTTAAATTGTGGTTTCTGTGCTTCAGTCGGCCCAGACGGAGCGAGCTAGTCACAAGTATGTCCATTGAAAGCAGGCTTTGAGTAGAGTCTGACTCTTTTGACGGTGATCCCCAATGTCTTGAGCAGGTCATCAGTCATCTTTTGTTATGTAGCATAGAAGTGCGTGTTCGACCTCATCATGATGTTGGCAGGTCGCGGCACAAGGTCGCACCTTCATAGATCCCGCTGCCTGGCGATTTCACAGACATCTCTTCTCTTCCATCGCCCTGAGACGCTGTGGGGCTGCCACCCGTGGTTGGTAGAGCCTCGAACTGTAACTTGAATCCGAACCCGAAGGCACGACATATGAGAACAGGCCGACTTACGTGTGAGACGCGATTGACGGATTGAGAGATGCCTAATTCTTCTATAGACTGCTGAGAACACATAAAAGGGACTGTTGTATGCTGGTCAGCTCTTGATATAAGCCTACAAGCCAGCAAATCATTTGCTATCACCTAACTCGAGCCTTTGTTCCTACCGCAATGCTTAGACAATTCTTTGCGTTGGCCCTCACTGGGGCGGCTTTAGCCAGCAGCAGCAGCCCATCGAACGCGTCAATCTCTCGGTGGCAGGGCAACTTTCATCTCACCAGCGAGGTTGCCTGTGCTTGTCAGCGGCTGAACCAGATACACTCATCTGAGCTGTTGTCGTCTTCCTCCGCGAACTATACGGAGGAGAGAATCCGGTACTGGGACATCCGCTCCGATCTGTATCCTGCTTGCATCTTCCAGCCAAGTAATGCGGATGAAGTGGCGGAGGGAGTCAAGATCGTTTCTGCGTGCAATGCACCCTTTGCCATTCGCGGTGGAGGTCACATGAATGCAAGTCCCGTGTATTAATCTTGGCCTGAGGCAGTGGGCTAATCTTCACATGCCATTGCAGTTCCCGGGATCCAACAACATCGACGGTGGTGTTTTGATCACCTTGAACAAGCTTCAGGACTACAAGGTCCATAACGATACCATCGAAGTGGGCCCTGGTATGAAATGGATTGATGTTGTCGCAGCCTTGGACCCCTATCATCGTGCTGTTATCGGAGGTCGTCTCAAGACCATCGGTGTGCCTGGTCTGACTCTGATCGGCGGCGTTCACTACTTCATCAACAAGTACGGGTTTGCTATGGACAATGTTGTGCGCTACGACGTGGTTCTGGGCAATGGCAAGCGGGTGATTGCGGATAAATCCACAAACCGCGATCTCTTCTGGGCCCTTAAGGGCGGTGCCAACAACTTTGGCCTGGTCACCAAGTTCACCCTCAAGACATACCACATGCCCAATGTTAGCACCACCATTCAGACCTTCGCGGAGTCGGAGGTCTACGACTTCATCAAGGCCGCCGTGGCCTTGTCCCACTTGGACGACCGCGATCCCATTGCTGCGGGCGGTGTCCTGACTATCCAGCACAATGTGACCACCAAAGCGGTGTCAGCCTCGCTGATGGGTGTTCAAGAGGGGATCAGCAACCCTCCTTCACAGTTTACCAACTTCACCGCCATTGAAGGCCCGATCAAGGTGCACAATGTCACCACAATGCTTCAGTGGACGGAGGACAAGGATACCCCCAATCAGATGTTCAGGTATGAGTGAATGCATCCCCGAGGTTAGCCGGACCAGAGTTCTGATGATCGAATCTGCAGAATTGCGTTTTCCGCCCACTCGATTGTCCCCAATGCCAATCGGCTGTACGAGATCTACCAGACCTGGAAGACGAGTGTAGAGACCCTATCCGATGTCCAAGGCATCTACCCGACATTCGTGATTAATCTGTGCCCCACGGGTGCTGTCCGCGCTGGACGAAACACCGACGTCGGAAACACGTGGGATCTGGCCCTTGAGCCTACAATCTGTGAGAATACCTAATCCTGCTCGCGTCAAATGACTATCGAGACAACCGGCTAATCTTCGGCTTCAGGGTGGCAATTTAGCACCGGATGGGATCTGGCCCAGGACGATATCCGCATGACGTCCTGGTCGCGTGATCTGTCCGAGAGCCTGCATGAGGAGAACCGCCAACTGTCTCTGGCACGCGAGCACGTCTATATGGGCGATGCTGGAGAATGGCAGGATGCTTTTGCGACGTTCCCGAAGGAGAACATCAAGCGCATGAAGGAGATCCAGGCGGCGGTTGATCCCGAGGGCGTGTTCAGTCGCCTGAACTGGGGTGGTTTCAAGCTTTCTCCCTGAGCGGCTGTGGCCTTTTGTGGCTCTTCACTCTCTATGTTCTTCTTGCTTTGCTGCTGTTCTGCTGCTGGTTGAACAGGCTGCCTGTTGTGTATAGTTCGTTGGTCAATTTCTTCACCTTGTGTTTGACCTGCTCTTGGGTATCTATATTTTGACTCATAATGCGAGTGTTCACCGGATTGTGCCTTTTACTACGATTCCAAGCTTTAAGTCTGCAGAACAATGAGATAGGGCATATCATTTATACGCAAGCAGTGCATCCAGCTTAGTATACGTGGGTTTGCCGATTCTCGATTTCGGAGTCGTGTTCAGATGCCGTCCGTGCTGCAATGAACGCCCGGTCCTTCAACGTCCCGCGATGCCTCTCATAAAACAATCGCTGTCTATATCACACTAGAACTCACTAATTTATCTTTTTATCCGGTTTCAGGTCACTTAACGTCAAAGAGCTTTTACAGGGCTACATCTTCTGCAGCAAAAGCGCATATGTGCCTCCTGGACCACCAGGTCCAGGGAATGTACATAAGTCAACAGGGAAGTACCAGCACTGGAAAAACAAAACATAAAAGTGGAATGTAGGGCTACCGATCTCTTGGCGGTCAAGCTACCAAGCAGCGTTGGTATAAATCAGGAAGGAATGGGAAGAGCCCGGCCGCGGCCCCTGCTCCACTCTAACCGCTTCGAGCCCCAAGCTGCACTTGTGATTGTCTAGGGAGTTGACAGAGGGCAGCGGGAAAGTACCAGTCCTGAGAAACATGCATTTGGAAGTGGAATGTAGGGCTACTGAGGTCTTGGCGCCCAGAATCTTTGATACCCTGGCCGCGCAGTCGTCGCTCTGTAGGTATCGTGGTGTGCGTTGATTCTTGATGAGTAAAAGTTATTCAGGGGTTTCAAAGCGTCCTGGTAGGATATAGGAATCGAAACACCTTTGTAGCTAGTTGCAATAGGCGAGTTCCTTGGGTTATTAGAACTTGAATTGAGTAAACCTCCGTGAACCGCAAGCTTTACTTTCATTCTCCGGGTTGGTTGCATAGGACAATAGAGAGGTAACTTACCAGTACCAAAAACCCCAAGGGCAAAAGTGAAATGCCGAGCCACTGGTTTCTTAGTGCCCAAGCTCCTTTATGCCGCTTTAATCCCAGGCTGCACCTACATTGTTGGGGGGAGGGAGGGGAGATTGTGTATGGCAATAGGGATGTACCAACACCAGGAAAGCAGAACATGAAAGTGGAATCTAGGGCTACCGACTTCTTGGCGTCCGGGTTGCCTGACACTGCTTAAATCCGTACGCTGTCTGGGAAACTTACATAAGGCAACAGAAAGTACCAGCACCAGAAAAGCAGAACTTGAAAGTGGAATGTAGGGCAACCACAGTCTTGGCGGCCAAGCTCACCAATAGCAGGGCTTTCAGCAAGGAAAGAAGGAGAAAGGCCCTTCGTTGTTCGTAACCCTACACCACTCAAAACCTAAGCTGCCTCGTGAGACAAAGGCTTGGTTATGTGCTCGTTGTCATTGTTCGTCGCGACCGCTCCAAGACAAAAGTGATTACTAACAAGTGGCTTGATCTGCTTTGATTGATGCTGGGAACGATTGGATTGTTGCTGGGTATAAAGGATTTTGGGGATGAATGAACAAAGACCGTATAATGCGACGCCTGATGAGGCAGACCGTGTGCCATTTGATTCCTGCTTCCTGCTTCCCATAGACTATACTAAATCTTCTGATTTGATTTCAAGAACCCATAAGGGAGAAAACAACCCGGATAAGTCCACTCACTGCTTTAGCATCGATGGACTTCAATCCCCCGATTCGGTGATGTGCGCCGAATGAGTTAGCAGGCCGTGCTGGACCATATCAACGATCGCACTGAAACCCAAAAGTATCCTGCACAGGAGCTCAGGCGGTTGGAAAGCCTCTTGGAGGCTCCTAATCATCTCCTCGCTTGCCAAGCCCTTTTCCAAGGATTCATATTTCCCGAGAAGGACGACTTCAACGTGACATGCTATTGGGCCCGCGACCCCAAAACCTTCTACGGAGTCGTGGCAACCAAGACGATTCCCAGAGGAAAAGACGAGTGCATCATGACGATTGCCCCAAGCAATAGACACATGCACGAGTGGCTAACAGAGGTGCAGTTCTTGCCTGAAGGGAAGTATAAAGATTTGGGCATTGAGACTAGATGTCGCGCCGTCTTGAGCGAGCACGGCCTGCTCCAGCTCTTCTTCTGCCGGAGAGATGCTGTAGACTGCACCTCTGACAACAGCAGCGATAAGTATCGCACGACTACCTCGTACAAACTGTCCACGTCCACCGACCTTCAGGCGCTCGTGCAGGAGCTGCGGCAATTGCGACGATTCTGGCGCCTTCAGGCCGAGCAGTGCGCTGCTTGGAACAAGGTTGAACACAAGCACTTTCTCTCATCCCTTACTGACATTACCAAGCAGAATAGGAGGGCTAGTCAGGCTAAAGCCAAATTGTGGGATACGCGTGGCCGGAAAGCCGTGATAGCCGGGATGACCGCTCCGTATGTGCTGCTTGTCGCGCCCATAGAAACCCACCACTCTGCCCTGGTGGCTTGGTTCGTGCGTCTTCGGGCCTTGTTTCCCGCCTCCGACGGCTTTGTCTACTCCTTCTTTCAGTATAGCGTTGGCGAAGGCCAGCCGGACGAGAGGGCAAGGAAGAGATACAAGTGTGTTCGGATCGGCAGAAAGCAAGAGAATGGCCGCGTGGCTGCTGTGATGACCGCGATTCTGATGTCCAGGTGCTACTTCACCCAGAAAAGGAGGCTTCTCGATCTCATTACGCAGCAGCAGGTCTGGTGCGCCGAGGCTGAGGTGCTATATCAGACTGGTCGGCCAGCTTACCTCGCCACCATCGAGCCCGCTTCGGGGGAGCTCACGATTCATGACATCCCTGACCCGCTGGGCCCTTTTATTCCTGTTGAGCGGCGCTTCCTGACGTCCGGTAACACAAGCAGCGCCTCGAAGCGGCTGCATACACGCCTCTATCTCAAGGAGGTCTTCAAGAAGGCCACCAGAGATCGAGTTCGGTCTGTGGGGAGCCGGAGTTTGAGCCAGTTGGGAAGAGAGAACGCTACGCCGCGAAGATCAAGTCGCTGGTGACGCTTTCATAACCGTGCATGGATTGGAATACACTGGAGTGGAATTTTTGAATCGATCGGTTCTGAATAGATGGCTTTGTCAGAAATGGTGTTGAGATGGACCAGTTTCAGGAGTAAAAGCAATCTAGACGGCAAGACATCCCATCATAAAATAGAGCAAATATTGCATGGCACACTTAAAATTAAACTATCTTATGCTAGGTGAGGCCGATACTCTGACGCCACGTGACTCTCTTGCGTCTTTCTTTCACCTTGATCACTGCTCAAAACCTTCACCCACCACCACTTCCAGACATCAGATCGACAAATCATAGTCATTGGAATTGAGACAAATCCTCCAAACCTGTCTAATCTCGATTGCCGAAGCTTATTATCCTCCCCGAAAGTTGATACTCCCCGAAAGTCACTCAGGAGGATCAAAGAGCACACCAAGTCGAGCAAACTCAGATGAAAGAGCATAGGCCTTGAATCGGTTCAAAGGAGGCTGTATGTGGTCTTGGCCAATGTCCATGAAATCAACAACCGAGTCTTATGTCCTATCAAAGCATCATAGATCTTGGGACTGAAGCTTTTGTCGATCACCGCACATACATTTCAGAAAGAGTCGAGTGGAACCCTCATCTGATAAATATGAATCTATCATATCAAAATATACGAGGGATACTCACAGAGCTCAGCAATGTTCGCATCGCATGACCTGTCAGCATGCACATCCTCCTCATCCAGTATTTGGCCGGTCTCTGGCCGGTCTCTCGCATCGTCCGGGCAGTCTACAATATCTCGCCCTTCCACCCCTTGTACCACATTCCAGGCCCCAAGCTCGCAGCCATCACGTTTCTGTACGAAGCCCGGTGACGCTACAGTCTGGGGATCCAATGCATGCACGAGATCTACGGCAAAGCCTCCCCTTCGTCCATGTATGATGGCCCAGATAGACATGGGAAATATGTCGATAAACCCGCCGCAACAGGTCTCGTGGGATCGAGATTTTGAGTGATTAGTAGAGGACTTGTGCGTGGGTTGGTCGTGGTGGACGTTACGACGTTGAGCGGGCAAAGCTGCGAGAGGCACCAAGGGAGTGGAGGAGGGAATAGATTCCTCGTGCGATAGTTCCAAATCGGGGGATGAGTGTAGGAGCTAATAGCCAAGTAGTGAAGATAAGCACCGGTAGCTAGTTGCGGCAGCTGTAGAAGAACAAAGAAGAACAAGACAATGGAAACACGAAGCTAACACGTCTTAGCCTACGGTGGGGTAGGCAAAGTAAGCGCTAAAGCAGCGTCTTTGCCCGATCGCACCCCAGCTCTACAGCAAAGCGCTCTGCTTTCGATTTTTCTACTCACTCCAGTTAGGGTCGACCCCAGTGCTACACACAATCACAAAAACGGCCTCAAAGCCTCATCCGTCCAATCCCACCATCGCTTCGCCAACTCTTCATCCTCGGCCGCACTATCCAGCTTGGACAAGAGCACCCCAACAGGCTCGTAGAACCCTCCATTCGTCAAGTGCGCCGTGGCCGTCGTCGCAGCCCACAGCTGATGGTAAGCCCCTTCCTCGGGCTTCATCACCTGGCCCAAGTTCGTCACTCACACAAACGCCCGGTTCCAGCAGCCCAGGTTTCCCGACGAGCCCCGTATTGACCACCTCAGGCGTCAACGAAATACTGGTCAGCTCGGGATACCGCCGCGCCAGCTCGCGGGCGTACAGCAGACTCGCCAGCTTGCTCTGCCCGTAGCGGCTCCAGCCCGCGAAGGCCGGGTGCTCCTGCGTGGTGCGGAGAGCGTCGAGGGCTATCCCGCCTGGTGGGTACACCTTGAACCCCAGGGAGTCAGGAGAATGACGTGGATGTCGTGGCCCTCGACAGCGGTGGCTTGGAGCCGCGGGAGTAGTTTCTGGATGAGCAGGGCGTGGCCGAGGTGGTTGGTTCCGAATTGGATCTCGTAGCCGTGGGTCGTCAGGCCCGGCGGCCGGGCCATTATTCCCGCGTTACACATCAGCACATCCGGGACGGGATTTCCTGGGCCAGGAAGGTTGAGGCTGCTTGTTGTACGGAGGTGAGATCTGCGAGGTCGCACGGTAGGAACGTGATTAGGGTGGTTTAGGGTGAATAACTTACCTCCTGTGATCAGGATGACTTTGCCAAACGAGGCAGGAATGTCTGTGTCCGGGTTTCAGGCGGCTGAGGGCATGTTTGGTTGGTCTTTGTTGTGTAATTGAAGTTGACGAGTACATGGAGAAGAGTTGGGGGAGCAGCAAAGGGAGGCTTTATTAGGACGGGAGAGCATTGTTGGACATGTTCACCCCCGGTCGGTATGGCAGGCAGCAGGGGTGGCGTAAGCTATCTGTAGGTGCAGCTTCAGCGACAACCTAGCTATGCATTGCACCACAGAACCGGGCATGTTCTCGATCGCGATAGATATGTGAGGAAGTCCAAGATGGATCCATTGACATATGGACGTCAAACACTCGGTTGCTGTCAACCGACTTGGCACTTCCCCTGCGCAGATGAGAATCGACCCAACAGCGGCCCGCGCTTTGACACGTACATCCGTAGTAACAGCTTGCCGCTGACTGGGATGCAATTAGTTATGCTGTGCAATTGAGTCAGCCATGGTGAACAATACTGACCGCGTTTAGCCGTGCGCCAAGGTTTAGGAAGCACAGAGAGCGAACTCCCATAATGACTTGGATATAGGTCAATTGCAAAACGACGTAATCTGAAGGAGAGACAGCAAGACTCCGAATCTCCTGGTAATACAGTTTAGAGAACAACAGAAAAGCACGCCCCAGTTCAATTCGTCGATCTTATTGGTCGTTCTCATATCCCTCCGCGTCAATTGGGCATACAGAGATTGGTCCAGGTTGCCTTGAACAATTGCCAAGTTGTGTGACATGTGCTTTTCGGCGTGTGCTTGGAGTGTTGTACGTAACAGGTATGCTCGTGTAGTACCAGGAGAGTTAGTGACCATGACACTGTTGACAGAAAACGCGGGGAAGTCGGCTGTGGGGGACTGGCTGGCTGTGCAGGTAGCGAGTGTGTCCGTACTCCAACTTATCGACCCACGCGAGATGCGACGAGGTTCACGGCTGCACTTCCACGTCTAGATCCCTTCGGGAAGGTCGCTCTACAGACATGTCAGCTGCAAGGCATAGCTCGATGAACCGTGGCAATCCTCCAGAACTTTGAATTGATGGATATGAGACATGGTCGAGTTGGCCACTGATAAAGTACCTGTTACGGAATCGATAGTGATAATCAACCACCGCGCCGGAATTGCCCCACTCAGATTGGGTGGTAGCATCCACTTTTGAGTCGTAGTATACTACGCACCGCACTCCACAAACGGTTCATACAATAGCAACTCGCTTAATACCACTGGGGTTCCATGCTGATATCAATGACTTTTCTCCCAGGTTTCTGATAGTAGATATCCGGCCTGCCCAGCCCGAGTTCTCTCGGCAGGCTGGCACCACCACCACCAAACTCGCCACTGGCGGGCAAAGGCTTGTCCCGAGTACAACCGCCGTATCAAGAAAGACAATAGATTAAAGATGCGAGCAGGATTCATGGCGTGGCAAACCATGCTCACCGTGTTCGCAGTGTCTCATGCGAAGAACATTCCATTTCCAGATACACCTGCCTAATTCGATGATTCGATGGATGGATGGATTGCTCCCCCGGTCTCTCCAGACTTTGTGGTCGCGTGCATCGAGTGGCTCGATGTAACCCACCTTAGCTCAGGTCAAACCCTCCGACGGCGAGTGATTGGCTGAGACCCCCGCCAGCCAAGGCCTGGGGTTGCACTGACTGCCCCTCGCCAAGTTTGCCAAGGCGTCCGTTCCGCTGTACGACCGACCAGAACAGCCCAGTCCTGAGCAATCCTGACCAGTCGTAGCCAGCCGTGCTTATCTGGCGTGCTTCTTATCCAAGCCATCGCCGGCCTGGGAAACGTGGGCTGAACGGGTTCTGCCGATTCCAAGCGAGGACCAGCAGTGGAATTGACTCCTGCGGCGGCCCCGAGAAGGGAAGCATCGCCGGTCTTGGCACTCTTGGACCCTGCAGATGCTGATAGCTGGTGGAAATGGTGCAATAGCAGTGATGGGTGGAATCATGGATGCTGATATGAGATCCTACTAGGTACGGAGTGCCACTGCTCAGTCGCCCAGTGCCTGCTTGCCTGCCTGCTTGCCTGCCTGCCGCGGTTGTGCCACCCGGTCCAGTCAGCCCAAATTTAAACCTCTTCCTCCGCACCTTTCCCCCGACTCCCTTCTCTGGATCTCCCCTTCATCTCTTCTTCCATCAACTATCCCTCACTCTATCCTGTCTCCCTCCAATATGAACAGCTCTGATCCAGTGGAGGCGGCAGAGGTCGCCAAATCGGCGGCCTACGCTCATGACGCTGCTGCTGCTGCTCACGATGAGAAGCAGAAGCATCCGGCGTCCAAAGTGCAACCGGACATTTCTTCCGATGTTGACGTGATTCAAGCGACCTCGGAGAAAGTCGCGGTCGGCTCATCGGGCGCCGCCTACGATGAGGATACATCGCTGCAGAAGGCGTTCCCTAACCCAGAGGAGATGCAGACCCTGCGTCGTGTGGCTGGCAAAATCCCCTGGACAGCCTACACCGTGGCTTTTGTGGAGCTGTGCGAGCGTTTCTCGTACTATGGTACCACTGCAGTGTGTGAGTGAACTCACGAGCCCATGGGTGACGTTGCTAACCTTCACAGTCGTCAACTTCATTCAGCGTCCCCTACCCGAAGGCTCCACCACCGGTGCGACTCATGGAGTTGGAAACCTGGTGCCTGGTGCTCTGGGAATGGGCCAACAGGCATCCACAGGATTGACTTTGTGTAAGTCCAGGCATTTTCGCTGATCGAGACAACACAGCTGACCTAGCAGTCAATGCTTTCTGGTCGTATATCATGCCGCTGGCTGGTGCGTTCATGGCGGATCAATACTGGGGTCGGTTCCGTACCATCATGTTTTCCATCGGCGCTGCATTGGTGGGACACACCATCCTCGTCATCTCCGCTATCCCTCCTGTCGTCAAAAACCCCGATGGAGCTATTGCTTGCTTCTCGATCGGATTGATTGTCATGGGTATCGGCACTGGTGGTTTCAAGTAAGTCGCGCCATTGCCCTGCATTCTGCAACACTGCCTAACAGACGCAGATCAAACATCTCCCCCCTGATTGCAGAGCAATATCGAGAAGACACCCCCTACATCAAAACCCTTCCGTCAGGCGAACGCGTTATCGTCGACCCATCTGCCACCGTTTCCCGCATCTACCTCTACTTCTACATGATGATCAACATCGGTTCGATTTTGGGTCAGGTCAGCATGGTGTACGCGGAGAGATATGTGGGATTCTGGCTATCCTACCTCCTGCCCACGATTATGTTCACATTCTGCCCGACTGTTCTGTTCCTCTGCCGCAACAAGTACTATCTGGTCAAGCCGACGGGTTCAGTCTACCTCCAGGCCTTCCGCACCTGGAAGCTAGCTATGAAAGGACGCTGGTCTCTCAACCCAGCCCGGATGTAAGTAGTCAATTCGGACACTTATCGGACTATACTGATTCCATCTTAGCTTCCAGAAGAATCCTAGGCCGTTCTGGGACTCGGTCAAGCCCAGCGCGCTCGGTGCAAACCGACCGGAGTGGATGACCTTTGATGATGAATGGGTGGACGAGGTAGCCCGTGGATTGAAGGCTTGCAAGGTGTTCCTGTGGTACCCACTCTACTGTAAGTGTGCACCTACCGCAACGACAGAGACTTTGTTCTAATCGTGATGAATTAGGGCTTGCGTACAACCAAATGTTGAACAATCTCACTTCGCAGGCGGCGACCATGCAACTTGGCGGCGTCCCCAACGACATCATCAACAACCTGAACCCTCTGGCGCTGATCATCTTCATCCCGATCATGGACCAGCTCATCTACCCGGGTCTCCGTCGCATTGGGGTCAAGTTCACGCCCCTGAAGCGTATCACGGCCGGTTTCTTCGCGGCCGCTCTGTCGATGATCGCGGCGACGGTGACGCAACACTACATCTACAAGCTGGGCCGGTGCGGCAAGCAGGCCAACTACTGTCTGGACGAGTACAACTCGCACTCTCCGATCTCCGTCTGGGTGCAGGCGTTGCCGTACGTCTTGGGAGGTATCTCCGAGATCTTCGCTTCAGTGACCTCGCTCGAGTACGCGTTCACCAAGGCCCCGCGGAACATGCGGTCCCTCGTACAGGCGGTCGCGTTGTTCATGAACGCGTTCTCGTCGGCCATCGGACAGGCGTTGGTCAGTCTGTCGGAAGACCCGCTGCTGGTATGGAACTACACGGTGGTTGCGATTTTGGCGTTCGTTGGCTGCATTGGATTCTGGGCGACGAACTACAAGCTGGATCGCCAGGAGGACGAACTGAACAATCTGCCCCAGAGCCATTATGAGGGGCGCGGGGAGGGCGACGTGGAGCGATGAGAGCGTGGAGTTTGGGGGAAGTTGGCGAGAGAATAGGGTAGTCATTCAGCAATATACCCATTAATATGATGACATGGTGATTTACTTGGTCTTTTGCTTCTTTTTGTCGGGTGCATCGCCTTCCGCTTCCTCATCATCGCCCACCTGTTGTTCGACTTCTTCTTCCTCGTCTTCCTCGTCTTCCTCATCTTCGCCGTCTTCTCCTTCTTCCTCCTGATATTCCCCGTCATCCTCATCTAGTTCCTCGTCTTCATTATCCCCGTTAATTTGCTCCTCTTCCTGTGTATCTGTATCTCCATTCACCTTCGTATCTTTCTTCACATCCTTCTTCCCTTTAGTTGTGCCCTTAGCAGTGCCCTTAGCAGTGCCCTTAGCAGCACCCTTAGCAGCATCCTCATCCCCACCCCCACCCTCCTTATCACCCTCCTCATCTCCCTCATCTTTCCCCACATCCTCCCCCTCCATCCCCTCCCTCACCCGCCCCTCAACCTCCCCCCTCTTCCTCTTCGCCCCCTCCGTATTCCCCACAAACTGCCTCCCCTCCCCCTCCCCTTCCTCCACCTTTTTCCGCTCAGTCGCCTCCTTCTCCCCTTCACTCATCTCCTCCCACGCCTTGCGCGGCAGATACCGCTTCCGGGCCCCGCCGTCTGCCGCGTTCGCGTCCGTCTTGGCCGTCCCCGACCCTTCCTTGGTCACCCAGTCCTCCGCGCCCCACTGCGACAGGCTCTTCTGGGATTGCGACTGCTCGTCCTTCGAGGTCGTGTAGTCCCCGCCCCGGGATTTGTATTCTTGGGCGGTGAGTTGGGCCTGGTTTTTGGGGGTTAGTTTGGGGGGTTTGGTTTTGGGTTGGGGTTGAGAGGGAGCGCTGGAGGGTGGTGGTATGGTATGTATGTATATATCGACTGTACTGTACCTTCCGCGCGGACCATTGACCGGGCTTCCCACCCTTGTCGCTCTGTTGCACCTCCTCTTTGACCTCCTGGCGGAGCTCGGGGTCGGTGTAGTTGTTGTTGTTGTTGCTTTTGGAGGGCATTCTGATGGTTTTTTTTTTTCTTTCGGGAAATCGAAGTAGGGTTGTAGTGCGTGCTCAGCCGGATGGATGAGCGAAGATCAATCGGAGCTGGGAAAGGTTCAATCACAATGAGTTGAAGAACTGGCTGTAAAATAATCTCCACTGGAAGAGATGGACACTATTATATAGGACTCGTATGACATCATGACCATCTCATCTGCATCGACCTCTTCTCTCTTCCAGGAATGAATGAGATCATGTGGATCTGAGTCTGGAGGGAGACCGTCATGGTGGGTCCTCCCGAGATCGGTCGCATTCGGCAACCCATCCGATCCCGGCTCTCGGCGCCAGATCGATGGGTCCTCCAGAACTCTATTGCTCCCCGTCTAGACTTAAGGTCCATTTCTAGAACCTACATTGTGCAGTCAATGCTGAAATGCAGTATTAACATAGCAGTCAACCAGTTCAATTATCAGGTAAATTATTCACAGTCCAGAAGCAGTCCAAGTACTCAAGCAGGGATATATCAAGCAACAATATTAAACCGTAAAATCACAGCTCCTCCTCAATCTCGGCATGATGCTGCGTATCAACAAGCTCCCAGGACTTGAACTTCAAGTCCAACGCATCCTCGTTGCTTTCAGCCTTGCCCCCACCAAAATTCTTCAGATTCCACTTTTCAACGCCCTCGACCCCGACCAAGTACTCCTCGTACTCTCTGAAGACGTCCGCGTTCAGTTTCTCGTATTCGGCGTAGTCCTTGGGCCAGTCACCAAGACGCTCAACGGAGAGCTTGAGAAGGTGCAGGTGCTGGCGGACGTGCTCGCCACCACCCGCAGTGCCGTTGTGCTCCTCAATTCCGTCTACCTCACCATAGGCTGAGCCGTCAAAGCTTCCATTGCTATCAATGCCTTCCAGTTCGGCGTAATCAGGGTCACTAAACACACGGAGAATGTTCTCGTGCACAGCAGCGCTCTTCTTATAGAATCGGTTGGCAATTGCTTGGCCATTCTTCTCGGCCTGGTAGCGCTGGGCATTGCCAGTGTACAGCTGGGACAGTAATATAGACATCTCGAGGGTACTGGGATGGCGAGGTCCGTGCACACGTCGGCAGTTGTAAACAATATCCTCTGCCAGGCGAAGGGCAGCGGAGTAGTCACCGACCAAGTAACGGGCCATGATGAAGCGACGTCCCAGAGCAAGAGTAATAGAAGTCGGCCAGTTACGCTGGGCCTCACGACTGTTCCACAGGATAGTCAAGAGCCAGGCCAGGGTCCGGTAGTCCTGCTGCTCTCCGAGAAGGCCAATCAACTTGTTCAGGTGAACAAGGCTGACGCCAGCCAAGTTGATCTTCAAGCTAGTGATCACGCGGAGGGCATCCTGGATAATTGTTCCAGAGACCTGGAGCAATTTCTTCCGAGTGGCTTCGTCAGGGCGGGTCACGAGATCCCGGCCACCAATGTTCAGACCAAGAGTGAAAACAAATTTGACAATCTCAGGGGTGTGGTAGCTCTCGTGAGCAATAATGTACTTGTAGGCAGCAAGAGCAAGGTCACTGGCAGTCTCCCACCGCTGGTTCTTCAGCAGCTCAACAACATGGTCATTACTAGTGATTCCCACAGACCGGATGAAGTTCTCAGACTGGTGGGTGCTGAAGTGATCCAGAATAGACAGCACAAAGATCTTGACTTGGGAAACCTCGGTCAGCTGCGCCCGCTTGCCCTCAGTACTGATGAAGTAAGTGACAAAGTCATCGAAAACACGAGCCGCGGCAGTATGGCGCTCATGGGCTATAAGGAACTGGTAGAGACGAGCCGCTGAGACGGAGACACTGTGAAAGCTGCTCTTGGACTTGATCTCTTTTCTGAAGTCCTCAAAGTAGACATACTCGGTAGTCAAGGCAGCAAGAATCTCAGTGATAGTGGTCGACGAGCTACGGCGTAGGCTGTACTCCAGCTGAGCCAAGAAAGTCAAGCTCTGGCGCTCCTTGGAGGACAAATCAAATTGAACAGACTTGGAGTTACTGGTGTCCTTCATCACGATCTGCCGGTAGATCTCTTGGGTCAACTCGGTGGCCTTTTGAATTTGGTTCGTCGCGATGTAGCTAGAGGCAATGGTCGTGGCAGCCGCAATCAGGCGAGTGGACGAAGTCTCGGAAGACAAGATCTGCACGATCGCCTCCTTGAGCTCCTGTACCACAGTTTGAGTCTCATTGCGCTGAGCATGAAACTTAATCATCTCTTCCATTTTGGTCAGGGATTCTTCATGGGCCCAGCCATGGGTCTCACGAACAGTGCTAATTCGCTTCCTCAAAACCTTGACGGCACGCTCAACCTGAGTCGACGAGAAAGACTCAGTCTTGGTCGAAGTGACAATGGCAGCCTGCTCCTCGTAAATGGCATCCAAAGTAGAGGAAATCTCCTGCAAGTCGATTTCCTCGGACTTTGTCTTCAGAAGCTCCTCATACAAGCTAATAGCCTCAAGTTCATAGCGCTTTGACTCCTGGCACAATTTGGCCAGCGTCAAAGTAGCTTTAAGAGTAATAGAAGCTGTAGCGCTGAACACAGCCTTGCACTTGGTCTGATATTCAACCGTTACCTGGTGAAGTGCACTAAACTCGGTACGAACGCTGCGCAGGCAGTGGGTGTAGCGCTCGAAGAACTCATGCACAAAGGTCTGGTCCTGGAACTTGGAGCTCTGCTTGGGCTCACTCAGGAACGTGGTGAAGATGATCTGGTAGTGTTGCAGAGCATCTGAGTAGCGACCTTGCTTCCATAACTCAGTAGCAACTATGACAAGGGGCTCAAAGGCCTCGGGGTGGGAAGTAGGAGAGTCTTTATTCAGAATGCGGATGATCTGCTGATAGTAATCAACAAAGACGGGCCGAGGGCGAGTCAGCTCAGCCAGGATCCAGAGAATCTTGACCACCAGCGGGTTCTCAGGGCCATAGTGCTTGATATAATCATTCAGTGTCTCTTGACGAAGGTTGATGATCTTGTCTGTCTGCGAAGTGCGCTCAAACAGGCGAAGCAGCTCGTTGGTGATGCGCTCTCGCAGTTTATCATCAACCTTGCGACCCGAGCGAACAGCACGGTAAATGCGAACACGGATATCTTCTTCCTTGCTCACGCGACGGCGAGAGTGGTAGCAGTGGCTAAGTCGCTCAGCCAGCTCGATGCAGCTTTCCACATGCTTCGCAGGAAGGGTAACATCTTGCAAGGAAGAAGCGAACAGAGAAGACCATACACCGTGCAAGACCTTCTTGATGACGCGAGTAGCATCCTGCCAGCGGCGCTGCTCAACATACAGGCTAACTAAGGTCTGCGTCGCACTGAAGGAAGTCTGGTCAACGGTCGTAATTGAGGTGGATGCCTCATAAACCATTTCCTCAAGGGTGGTTTCTGAGGTTACTGTGGTGGAAGAAGAGCTGAAAGACTGCATAACCTCCTTGGATGTTGTATGAATGCTCTGCTGAATCTCTTGGTAGGTCGAAGACTGGGTACGGTTGGTGCTCTGATAATAGTGCGAGCAGTGCTTGAACACAGTCAGAGCCAAAGTGGCCAGACCAACAGTCTTCATCACCTTGGCCATCTCTTGGAGGTGGAAGACTGAGGTCTCCGACAATGCCATAGTTGTCTGCTCGTACTCTTGCCAGACACTGGAGAGAATGGATGAGGCCTCATACTCTCTCTTTTGTGTCTTCAGGAACTGGGTGTAGGCAAGAACCGATTGAATCTTACGCTCTTCAACCTGGGTGGAGTACTGAACGCGGGACTCCCGACTCAGGCGTTGCCAGATTTCGACATAGGTACGTTCTGCCAACTCAAGCTTGGCCTCTGCAACGTACCTCTCGGCCTGCTTAATTAAATTTTCAAAGCTCCAAGCCTCAACTTCAATCAACTTGTCATGCTCCTCAATGTCTAGCAGGAGAGTGGTGCTACCTCCAGCGGTGACCACGTTACCGCCCTTCAGGTGCACATTCAGGTTTCCGTGAGTGTCACGACCTTGACTGTACTCACCACTGAGTTTCTGAATGGTAACGGTATACTCTTCGGCTTTCTTGTCTTCCTTTATCAGCTTGTAGTGCTCGATAAGCTGCTTCAAGGTGTTGATGACATTCTCGTGGGTGCTGTCGTGGTGGTGCTTGTAGCACTCTATCAGAACTAGAAGTACCTCCTCCCTCTTGGCCATGATCTCTGTCTTGGTACTAGTGACTCTTTCGGTTGTGACCTCAAGGAAGGTGGCAGCCATTTTCATAGTAACCAGGTGGCGAATGGTGAGCAAACTGCGACTAATGATCGTTGCCTCATAGAAAAGAGGAATAGACTCGGGGATATAATCGAGCTGGCGGTATAGGAATGCCAGGGTGATTATCAACTGTAAAGTGACCACATGATTATTAGTCAGGATCTGACGGCAGACGTTGGTAACGGTGGTCGTGAATGCCAACAACTCTGGAGTCGGTCGGTTCTCCCAGAGTGTGTTCTGTAAAAGGAATACCATGATGGAAGACGGGAACAGCTTTGCAAATTCCTTGGCAGCAGGAACTTCGCCATTGTTGACAAAGACATTCGTTTGCCTGAAATGCGTGATCCAGTAACGAATTGAAAACTCAAGCAGTGGGTGCTTGTTGATGAGAGGATTGACGTCATGCCAGTCAAGGGGTGTAATGGAAGGCTCATGCGGTTGGGTGACAGTAGCCTTGATATAGACCAAAAGTCTGGTAACAAGATCGGCATGGCGATCTTTGATAGCCGGTACCAATTTGCCTTTGGAAAATATGTCCAAGATAGCAGTACGGATGAGGCTGTGGCGTAGAAAGACCTGCCCTTCTTGCAGGAACACCAGGGAGTTTACTGGGTGAAGGACTCGGAGAGGCTCCTCGGTATATTCCGTAATGGTCTGCTTCTCTGGGTGAATGGAAGCAAGAGCCTTGAGCTCCTTCACCAAGAGGGGGCGGTCGGCTGTGGCAAGCCACAGCAACATTAGTTTAGCATCTTCGCGAGTTTGCGACTGCGGCAGTTCGTTCAGGATCTGCAAGACCAAATCGGTAATGGTTGGCTTTGCGTTTACAAGCGCGTCAACGGCCTTGCGCAGGTTATCCGCATTTTCCACATCGCGAACACGCTTACTGGC